TCACCACATTTACTTATGCACCCATTTTGTCTTCAGTGATTGTGTCGGGCAAGTGAGCATCACAGAATGCCAGATTGTTAGAACAAAGTGTTCTTGTGTTGAGGGAGTGCTTGAGTCAAGGCCCAATGTCCATCTGCAACCTTAATTCTTAACATTAGATATGAATACATAGTTCTCTTTCCCTCTCGTTATATATATATATTTACATATGTACATCCCTGCATTTAGACCTCTATAAAGGTTCTTTGCCTCCTGGTTCTTTCCTTTATTTGCTTTTCCTTTCCTCTTGTCTCACCATCACGTTTGGCCTTCATTCATGTTTAGTAATTCCTTGCTGCTACATTGCCCTTGATTAAGCCCCACTAGGCATCCTACATTCATCACATTTTTAATGCAGTTTTTGTGTAAAATTAGGTGCCTCGGCTGATATTCGGGTCGGCTTATACTCGAGTATATACGGTAGACCCAGAAATATTTGGGTGAAATTAGGGCATTTACAGCTAAATAGAAATGAAAGGAATATGTAAAACCCAGACCAACCTTACATGATATACTAAAGAGAGGTCTTTGGACAGAGAACTAACAATGACAGACAGCAACCTAACACGTTGCATCACAATAGCACCCAGAATTCAATTCAGCTATAGAAGTATCCAAAATTAAGAAAGTTTACAAGACTGAAAATAGAGAACCAGAGATACCAATTTATAAGGAAGACAATTACAATGTAAATAGAGGGAAGAATATAGTTATAGAACTCCCACAGGTGGACTTCAAGAACTTGGTAAAGAGGAATACAATATGAAATAAGAAAGATTTTAAAAATATTTTATTGGGAGCTCTTAAAGATATTACTACTACAATCCATAGTTCCACTAGGTCAGGTGTAGTTGTATTGTACAATTGTTACCATCATCATTTACAATCCATTTTCTTTTCTTGAACTGCTAGAATATCCGATCCCCTTTATCCCCTCCCTCTTCCACCCTACCAGCCCCTTGAACCCTTAAAAAACACAATAATAATGAAATAAGAAATATTTTGGTAAAATATGATGTAGGCAAGAAAAACTGGGAGTAGTGAAAGTTAGAGGCAACAGAGGTAAATACTGTTATATCAGCCTACAATAATTATGATCTGTGAGTAGATACATGGACAGACACACTGCTGAATGGGTGTGGGAGAGAGAATGGAAGTTTATCCATAAATATATTTATGTTTGACAGAGAATACTTGTACATGAGCACATACCTCTGCTACAATTTACATCCATTAACCTGGTGAAGCACACAGGGGACAAATTTAGGAACACTTCTTAGAGCCAAACTCCTTGAGGGAATGAGTTACTGGCTCTGGAGGCTCAGGATCGTCTTCTCAAGGGACACGAAGGTCCATTGGCATAGCATATCCCACAAAGTCCACATCCTACTCTGCTTAGTACAGACCGGGTGTCTTAAAAACGGATGATGGTCCATCTGTGATGCAACGATCAGAGTCTCCCTGTGTGAGGGAAAGAAGAGTGCTGAAACCTGAAAACCCACGGAAACAGCCCCATGGACTAATGGACCCTGAGAACAGCAGTCTCCAGGACCCAAGTCCAAAAGAACTGGGAGGTGTCTGGGTCCCACTAACGCCTGCTCTGAAAGGAGTCACATTTAAAGGTCCTGGGCAGAATGGGAAGAAAATGTGCTACGAAACTCAAAAGCACAAAACAGACCAGGCATGCTGGCTGGCTACAGCCTGAAGACATCCCTGAGAGCAGGTCTTGTCCCCCTTGAGGCCTAGAGTGAATGGGCCCTGTGGCACAATGTCCATACCGTGTGTGGAGCCAGGAACACGAAGGGTTAGTGAATGTGCAATGAGTGGTATTCCCTTTTAATCTTCGTCCAATTCACAATGAAAATTTTGTTTTAAAGGAGGTCCTCGGGAACATGGAATTAAAAGATAATAAAAATTTTCCATGAACATTTTGAAACCCCCTGATACAGGAAAGTTCACTTGAATTATCTGTAACAACAAAATTCTAGGGAAACCTCAATATCCTGTCAAAGAGGGATTTAAAAATATATGAGTATCTTATCACTGTTTTAATTTGTATTTCCTTTTTCTTAATAACCAGAGCATGTATATTTGCCATGGTCTTCATTGGGGGAAATATCCTCTTATATTCTTTTGCTATTGAAGTTTCTTCATATTGATTTATAGAAACCCTTCATATATTTCATCATTTTCCCTTTATGTACATTAAATATATATTTCAGCACATCTTTTCATTTGTTTATGATGTCTTCCTTTCATAATACAACATTTTGAAAAGTTTATAAAATTAATCTTTCCATTTTTACCCTCTGGGTTCAAGATTTTCTCTTCTGTGCGTAACAGCTTTCCTCACCAAAACATATCTATTTTTAAATCTCTTGTGTTATGTCCTAATGCGTTTCATAGATTAAAACAGATATTTATCTGTTTATTACACTGGAAATCTATTTTTGTCCATGGAATAGTTAAGACATACGGTTTTTAATTGTAGAAAACATAGGCATTGAAAGATTTGCAGAATGAATCAACTCTTGGTAAAACAACAGAAGACAAGACGATGCCCATAAACGTGTGCTTCCAGGTGACTGCTACTTGCAGGACTGGTCCTCGTGGAGCCCGTGTCAGCTGACCTGTGTGAGTGGTGAGGACCTCGGCTTCAGTGGAGTACAGGCCCGATCAAGAGCAGTGATTATACAGGAACTGGAAAACCAACATTTATGTCCCGAGCAGATGTTAGAAACAAAGCCATGTGATGGTGAGTGCTTCCATCAGGAAAGTTACAGACGTTTGCTCTGCGTTGATAAGCAAATTCATAAAGCACAGAATTTAAGTAAATGTGTTAAGGTAAGAGAATTGAATCCAGGATCTGATGCTGTATTCTGAAAACTTGGGAGAAGGAAATTTTTGTCGCTCTTCATAATTAGTTGTGAAATCTTTTTCAAATGCTTTCCAGTTGTGTAAGCAAAGGAAGGCTTGAAAAGAGAGGAGCGCCTTTTGGGGACTCGTGCAATGAAACATCCTGATTGATGAAGTATAAATGTAACATTCTCAGCATGAGGAGGCCTGATGGCGTTAGGGATTGTGCGCTGGGCTGCCATCCTCGTGTGCAGCGACTGGAAGCCCCCCCCTCCCCCCGCAGCCCCTCAGGGGGGCACTAGACGATCTCCTCCCATAAACAGTGATAGTCTCCGGAACGGCCGGGGTTAATCTGAGTCAGCGTTGACTCCATGGCAGTGAGTTTGGTTTGGTGGCAGTTTTATGAACAAATCACAGAAGGAAAGAAAATCCAAAGTGGATAGCAAAATGAGAAGTTTTAATATATTCTCGGAATATACAATATAATTACTGGTCCTTAACAAATGTAATCTACATTTGACATAAAGTGCATATGTCAAAATGCTAATGTTCAAATAGCATCTTTGAATTCTTACAGTTCTCTGCCCTTATTTTACTTTGGATATTAAGCTGTACTGGACCACCAGCAGCCACCCTCGCTAGGGTTTCTGAGGCTGTAAATCTTTAGGAAGCATATATCCTCATCTTTCTCTCTAGGAGTGGCTGCCAGGTTTGAACTACAGACAATGTCACCAGGGTTCCTTATCATTTAAAAAGAAACACAAACTTAAATGAAAGGGGCAGGTCCGTGCCAGTTCATGTGGCAGTAATGCCAGATAGTATGGAAAATCAATCAGGGTTTGGGTACACATCAGCAATTTTATATTTTTACGTCAACTTACAGGTAATAAATTGACATTGGAATCACCAGAAATGATTAACATTCTATCTTCATGATTGCCTTTCCGAGCATTGGAATGCTTCTGTTAATGTTTATTGTGTCCCCACAGATGGCCAATGTTACGAGTATAAATGGATAGCCAGTAATTGGAAGGGCTCTTCTAGAACAGTCTGGTGTCAAAGGTCAGATGGTATAAATGTCACAGGTAAGCCTTTGATTCCCCTTTGTTCATCACAATCCTTCTATCACACACACACTAAAGAAAGCTATGAAGAGACCAGAAAAAATGTTCTTTCAGTGCTCAGCACAAGACTGAGGCTCAGGGTTCCCTCGGGTAACTGATGAGAAATTCTTTTTAATTGTATGATTTAAATTCACTTTCATCTGGTCACTTTATGTATTGATACTAGTACTCATTTCATTAAAATAGTAATTCCAATAAACAAGTGTCATAAGTAAAGAATGTCTGACGGCATTTCCTAGAAATTTCCTGAAGGACTAACTCGACACTCGTAAGGAAAATGTTTCCTTGGCTGATTCTGTTTCTCTGCCCTGAAGGCAATTCCAGCGCAAACCTAGACCAGGCCGAAGGGAGAATGTCTGCCCAGAGCCACACATCGCGCTTGGCTTCAGAAGCAGGGGTCCCAAACTTCTTAAACGGGGCCAGTTCACTGTCACTCAGACCCATTGGAGGGCTGGACTATAGTTTAAAAAAAAAACAACTATGGACAAATTCCTATGCACACTGCACATATCTTATTTTGAAGTAAAAAACAAAACAGGGCAAAAACACC